ACTTAGTATTAGTAAATTTTGCCCCTACCTGCTATACCGCGAGTAGGGGCCTGTCTAGTAAACGGTGAGCATGCCCCTAAAAAAAAAAGCTGGGGGACCTAAATTAGAATAAGGGGGGTGGGACCTATTTCTCCCCACCCCTGAGCGGTGGGTGGGGGCCCTAAATACTGAGAGGGGGGACATCTAATGACTGACCCCCACCCCTGAGCGGTGGGTGGGTCCCTAAATTAGAATGAAGGGGGAGGACCTAATGTCCTCATCCCTGAGCGGTGGGTGGGGGCCCTAAATACTAACTGGGGGGGGGGAGTACCTAATGTCCTGGCCCCCACCCCTGAGCGTCGGGTGGGGGCCCTAAATAAAAAAAAATAACCCCCCCATTCCCCCAAAAATTAACCCCTACCTATCCCCCTCACCCTAAAAATAATGAGGGGGGGGGACCATTTAATTAAGTACCTGTAAAAAAGAAAAAATAATAAACTTACCATTTGATGTTTTCTTTCTTTCTTCTAAAATCTTATTTTTTCAGCCCCAAAAAAGGCCAAATAAAAACCCATAATAACCGACGTAATTAAAAAAACGAGCGCAAAAAAAAAAATCCATCTTCACCCGGCGAGGGCTCCGTGCAGACAGCTCTGCAGGGCGGGGGAAGGCTTATAAAGTCTTACCCCGCCCTGCAATTAGGCTCAGAGCACTCTGATTGGTGGGTTTAAGCCATCCAGTCAGAGTGCTCTGACAGGTAAATGAAGAGATTGACAGGTAAGTCTCTACCTGTCACAGCACTCTGGTTGGTTTGAAATCCACCAATCAGAGTGCTCTGTGTCATTTTACACAGCATGGGAAAGTTCTTTGGAATTTTCCCACGCTGTGTAATTTGACTCATAACTCTCTGGTGAATTAAGTAACCAATCAGAGAGTTATGAGTCAAATTACACAGCGTGGGAAAATTCCAAAGAACTTTCCCGCGCTGTGTAAAATGACACAGAGCACTCTGGTGGATTTCAAACCAACCAATCAGAGTGCTGTGACAGGTAAATGTAGAGACTTACCTGTCAGTCTCTTCATTTACCTGTCAGACCACTCTGATTGGATGGCTTAAACCCACCAATCAGAGTGCTCTGAGCCTGATTGCAGGGTGGGGCAAGGCTTTATAAGCCTTCCCCCGCCCTGCAGAACTCAGTCTGTGCGGAGCCCTGCATGGGTGAAGATGGATTTTATTTTTTTAAATTTTTTTTTTACGCTTTTTTTTTTTTTTTAAATTGCGTCGGTTATTATGGATTTTTATTTGGCCTTTTTTGGGGCTGAAAAAATACGATTTTAGAAGAAAAAAAACATCAAATGGTAAGTTTATTTTTATTTTTTACAGGTACTTAGTTAAATGGTCCCCCCTCATTATTTTTAGGGTGAGGGGGTAAGGTAGGGGTTAATTTTTGGGGGAAGGGGGTGACTAGGGGTTTGGGGACCCTGAGTCACCTGCGGGAGGGGGGTTTATTTTTTTTTATTTAGGGCCCCCACCCGACGCTCACGTGTGACCCACCGGGACCCTGTATTACTGACCTAAGTATGGATCCCTCGGGGCTCCCAACTCCTACCCCCCCCCCCTACGGACCGATGGGGGTTATCACGGTCCACAGTGGGCAACAGGGGAGGCGGACAAAGACTGAACCTGCAGCCTGAGAAACCGCAGCGACGAAGCGGCCAAGTACATGGCGTGCCCAAAATGGCGGCAAACCTACCAAGCAAGCAACACTGCACACACGAGCCGGAGGACTTCGGCGACATACAACAGCGTCTAAATGCAACTTTTGCCCGATTCTGGACGGAGTTGCTGGAAAAGATGCAAACACCTCAGGCAAAATCACAAACCCTACCCTACAGGGGTGAGCGGAACCATGAGAGCAGGGTGAAGAGAGAGACACTCTTGAATAACATGGCGGCAAAACGACAGCATGTAAGTGAGACACAACACATGCCACCCAACACCAGGCACCCCGAGCACCACCTAGTCTCACAGAAGTCCCACTCATACAAGCACCCCAAGCAAACTCCCCAGGCTCCCCGCCTGCGCACAGGCATCAGACACCTGCTGTGGCCTGCGCCCAGCTCCACCGCTGAAATCAAGATGGCGGCGGAGGCACCTGTGATAGCAACACAAGGCCCGCAAGCGACACTCGAGGAACAGCTAGATACGCTGTTCAGCAACTTCTGGCGGATGCTGCAGGACAGAGAGGCACAGGCTAACAGGGAGCAGAGGAGAGAAAGCAAACCTCTTGTCCCTCCTGCCTCCCTGGCAGACAAACGGTGGCAAAAACCCATGGTTCCCGGCACTGTGCAGCGGGGGAGACAGATGACCAACTCACCAGGCACCCGCTCATATCCCAAACGGACCAGAGCTCGTAACAACCTTCCTGGGCAGAGGGCCCAAAGGAAACCTCCACTCCAAGGGAAACACATCATCTTCCGAGTTCCCGCTCGCGGCTGTGAGTCCGAACGATGGGGTGGAAACCACACAAGGGTTCCTAGAAGGGTCCGGCAGGACAAGCAACCGAGGATTCTCACCTCTCCGGGTACTCCACCAAGCACACAGCGGCACCAGCCTCACGTTGCTCCGCTGGACCGTAAACCAAGCTGCTGTCCAAACCCATCAAACGGGCTCACACACCTATGTGCACACACAGAGAGGATGGTCCACACTGACGCGGTGAGCCGAAGAGGAATGCGGGAAGAAACACACTACCCTGCAAAAGGGTCTGGACTGTGCCAGACAGCTATGGGCATAGGCTGAGTGGGACATGCAATGGGGGGGTCACTGGATACGCCAGAGCATCAGCCTGTTGTCCCCTCTCACACACAGCACTGCTCTCTAGCTACTGCATGTGATTTTAAAATCTGTATTATGCCTATATTCATATTTCTCCAATTCCATCTGATCCCACTAACCCTCAGCGCCCAGTAACTAAAATGTCTGATGGCCTCCTTTCCTTAAGCGATGTATAGTACCCAGGTATAATTAGCATGTGTAGTATTAGCATACAACTTTAATGATTGTGAAACTACTTCACTAAATACCTGCACCAGGTTACCATGTATAATTTACTTACTCTATACAACAGGTTACTTCGTATTCAATGGCTAACTAGTCTCATACCGACTAACTGTGATAGCGATAGTTTGCACGGGTAAAGCCTCACACCCTACTAAGCCTAACCTTGCTACAACAAGCATATACACTCATATGGACTACTAGGCAACAACTACATTAGGCTTAACCAGCATATGTAAAGCTTTCTGGGTCCACAAATAGTTAAGGCGCAGCAAGGTAGCATATTAATACACACTAAGCAGTTAAATAATCTAACTACACTAACTTGATCTAAGAATCTGCATTTTGCTACAATATTCACTGTACTGTTATAAACGTGGCCTCAGTAATGTTTTAGTATGTTAATAATTCTACATTATAGTTACATAAACGAGTACCCACACTGTTGAAATGATCTCAAATACTTAAAAATGTGCCTGACTAACAAATGCCACAACCTGTATTGCAAATGTATTTCAACTCACCCTGATGTCGCCGTTGTGGCGCACCAAGGCTATTTGTCAATTTTGTGCACAACAAAAATAAAGAATTCAAAAAAAAACTTGGGACAGAACCTTGATATATAAATAAGGCAGAATACACAGATTTGGAATATCATACCCATCAATTACCAGGCTGATCCTACAGGGAGAGGAAATGGGAGGAAAAGGAAACCCAGGCAGTATTAAGAGTAATAAGCCTACTGAGATTGGATCATTTTTGAGTTTTAAATAAGATCGATTTCACTGTATTTAAACCCCAAATTAACAGACAGGTGGAATCTGATAACAAGAAATCTAAGTAACATTACTGGAACAAGCAGTGTACTGGGGAAATTCTCTCTCTTTTTTTTTATTCTTTTTTTTTGCTGTGCAGGTGGGTACAAGAAATTCAACAGACGCCACAACAGCGTATTGAGTTAAACAATGGCATGAGAGTCTGCACAATTTTATATTTTTAGCAAGCTTAGCTAAACAGTTGTATCGTTAGCGTGAAGTTAAATGAAATACAGCAAGATAATTGATGCTTAACTTGTCTAATTCGGCATTTGTGCTAGGCATATGAGTGAGAAACAAAACAGTTAGCTTATTTTTGCCCTTAAAACAGGAGCTAAGGTCATTATCAAGAACAGATTTCTATAGGCTTAATTAAGTTTAACCACCAGGGGGCAGCAGATCGTCAGACATACACGCAAGCTCAGACATTTTAATTACTTTCTATCTGCAGGAAGAGTCTGCTATAAAAGACACACATTAATATTGTAGATGAGGTACTAGATTAAGAGGTACACCATCGTCTGTTATAACTTTAGGCATATATGGTTAGAAGCCGCTTGATCCCTTCTGCAGCTGTGCTAGATCTCTGATTGTAGCTAGTTATTTCAGTGTGTGGGGGCTTGACAGTCAGGAGTGGAGTGAAGCTCATTCCCCATTTTCGTTGTTCCTTTGTACTCAGGTAGGGTCAGAGTCCAGATAGAGTCCCCTTATATCCACTGGTGTTAATGAGAGGTGATGCCTCTGTTGGTGTGAGTGTTATAATGCTGAGCTGGGCTTGCTTGTGGAGTATATCCCTTATCCAGTTATCCTGTGGGTGGAAGGAGCACTCAGTCTGTCTGCCGTTGCTTTGGTACTTCCCCCTCACTTCATCTCACAATGAGCGCGGCGGCCATCTTTTTTCCCCATGCGGTCCCCGGTCAGTCTTCCTGCCGCTTAGATGCCCTGATCGAGCGCTGCGTCCCCGGTGGGGTCCGGGATAACCCCCCGGCAGTAACGAGGTCCTTAGCAGGCGGCGGGAGGTCCTGCCAGACCAAGCACGGGAGATCGGCCGCTTCTCCCGCCAGGGCCTCACAGCAGGCCGCAATCTCACTCGCCCACCAGACCGCATCGCCAGCGGAGCAGGGGCTGATACTTGCCCCGAAGGTTGTTGGTCGGGTCCCCTTTCCTTTCTCACGGCAGCTGAGGGTTTTCCAAGCAAGAAGGGGTATTTATAAGCTGGTCATTGCGGGTTCATCAGGGAGCCGAGGTGCCCCACGTCTACCCAGCTCGGCGGCCAGGCCCCACCCCCTCTCTCCTTTTTTTTTTTTCATTTCCTTATTCCTTACAACAGATCAATACAACCAAAAATAAAATATGTCTACCAGGAAGATGGCTGATACTGGACAGCTCACTAAGAATGCAGCTTCACAATGAATGTAAAATGGATGCTGTCCAGGAGGTGGGAGGGTCTGGGAGAGAGGGTCTGCTGCTGATTGGCTGGAATGTGTCTGCTGACTGTGAGGTACAGGGTCAAAGTTTGTTTATGTTCGCCGTCCGCGGCAAACCGTTCGGCGAACCGTTTGGGACATCACTATTGACCAGTGTTATCAAAGCAGCACGAGACAGCTCACTCACCCCTTGCTTTGCCCAAATAGAGATCTTTACAGACCTATCCGGTTTAAATTTAACGATAATCTTCTAGTTATTATCCCAGTATCTGTTGTTGGGTATGCTAAATTTATTTTATTTCTATAAATTATACATATAACACCAAAGACAGACAGGATAATGATTTTCTATATACGACTTATCAATCTGCAGGGGTATGGCTGATCAGCTTGTTAATTGGCCTCTAGGCTCAGTGTCCAGGGTTCCCAAATTTTTGTATAAATTTACATTGATTCAAGGTTACTATAAATCCTAAATGGTATATTTAAAATCCTACCAAGTTTCCTTTATAAAATTTGTTTTAACTGGTTAATTTTACAGCAGTCCCACCATATGTGTTTTTTTTTTAATTTTAGTTTGTTTGGTGAAAACTTTACTTGCTCTATTTTCTGCATAATACCAAAGTTGTCTCATTCTAATAATTGCGTTATTTAGCTGATAATTTGGTTTTAATTTCTGATTTAATTTCTTTAATTCTATTTAATCTTTGTGAATTAACATCTTTTTTATTATGACCTTCTAATTTTGATAGTTCTATATATAAATCAGTTACATTTTCCCCCTGGTCTTTTTTAATTTTAGACAGTATTTTAATGAAATTGCCCGTCATAAAAGATTCGTACGTACACCATAGAGTGTCGTAGGAAACTTCGTTGTTATCATTAATATTGATGAACTCTTCTGCTTGTTTATTTAGATAATTTAACCCTTGTTCCGAGTCTAAGATATTATTGTTCATCCTCCAGGATTTCCTGCCCCGTTCGTCTATATCTTATTTAATATTGACTTTTATCGGTGCATGGTCTGACCATACTATATTATCGATATTGGAGTTTCAAAACTCTTCAGATTAGTTAAGTTAGTTAGAAATATATCAATTCTTGAGTACGTTTTATGTACTTGTGAGAAGTAAGAGTAGTCTCTGTCTTTTGGATGTTGTAGTCTCCAAATATCGTAAAGATCGTGTTCCAGAAGGACATCTCGGAAGGAATTACTATCGCATCTTGTTTTTCGATTATGTTTGTTGATTTTTATGTTTAGGGTTCTATACATTTTTTCATCCAATGTTACATTCATGTATGTCTCCAGCAATCAGTAAGGTACCTTTTTTGATTTTCTCGATTTCATTAAAAATTTATTTAATTTTTTTTGCAAGGGTAGATATTTGGTGTGTATATATTTACCAGTGTGTAAATGTTGTTATTAAGTCTACATATTATTATCAAATATCCACCCTCTTTTTCCCCAAGATAGGTTCAAATGTAATTTGGGACGAGAATAGCTAGTTTTAGCGCAACCAAATAGCTAACTAAAAGTTACATTCCTAATACATTTTTTAATTTTTTTATTTTTTATTTTAATTTACATGCTTTGCTGATCTTACAATGAGTTTTAGTATGTAGAGAACTGAGCTCAGAATATATTATTATTATTATTATTGCCATTTATATAGCGCCAACAGATTTCGTAGCACTTTACAATATAATAAGAAGGGGGATTTAACTATAAATAGGACAATTACAAGAAAACTTACAGGAACGATAGGTTGAAGAGGACCCTGCTCAAACGAGCTTACAGTCTATAGGAGGTGGGGTGTAAAACACATTAGGACAGGAAATAGCAATCAAATAAGGTGGGAGTGAAGTAGAGCTGGAGTAGAGTGCTGCCCTTTAGGAGAAAGCAAGAGACAGGTATGTGAGGTCGAGGTTACTCTGGGAGGCCATAAGCTTTCCTAAAGAGATGGATTTTAAGGCACTTCTTAAACGATTGAAGACTAGGGGAGAGTCTGATGGTGGTAGGCAGGCTATTCATAGGAAGGGAGCCGCCCGCGAGAAATCCTGCAAGCGTGAGTTGGCCTTACGGGTGCGAGCAGCGGACAGGAGAAGGTCACGGGCAAAGCAGAGAGATCAATGGATCTGTGAGGAGATATAAGAGGTGTTCAGTGTTTTATATGTATGGATTAGCACTTTGAATTGACTCCTATAGGATACAGGAAGCCAATGTAAGGACTGACCGAGGGGTGAGGTGTGAGAGGACCGACTAGAGAGGAAAATCAGTCTGGCGGCGGCATTCATTACAGACTGTAGCGGGGCAATACGGCTTTTGGGAAGACCAATTAGGAGAAAGTTACAATAATCCATGTGGGAAATTACTAGAGCGTGGACAAGCTCCTTGGTAGCATCTTGCGTAAGAAAGGGGCGGATGTGGGCTATGTTTTTAAGATGGAATCTACAGGATTTGGTAACATGCTGTGAGGCTCAAAGGTGCTTGCACGGATGGACTAATGTGAATACCACTAACTTGAAGTGAGAGAAGAAGAGGAGGATCAGAATTAGGAGGAGGAAAGACAAGGAGCTCAGTTTTAGAGAAATTGAGTTTCAGAAAGCGGGAGGACATCCAATCAGTGGTGGAAGAAATGCAAGCAGTGACACGTTGCAGGACGGCAGGGGAGAGGTCTGGGGAGGAGAGATATTGGTGGTAGTGGAATCCAAAAGAGGTAATACGTTTGCCAAGAGAGGCAACCAGGGATTGGTGCATCGACCCACTGAGCTATCTCTCCTACAGCTGTAGGGCTGCTCGTGAGCAAATCCTACTAAGGAAGGGTTTTTGTGTCTAGCATTTCTGTCTATCACAACATTCCTTTTTATTTATAGGTTGAAGAGCTTGCAATCTGTTTGTGGACCTGTTGGATAACATCATTCAAAGTGTCTTGGCTTTCGGGTGAAACCGAAATGGAGGTTGCTGACTTTCAGGAGGGGCTAGGAAATGCAAACCTATTTTATGCCAATAACCAGAAGTAATAAAAACAGCTACATTAGAGTATACCTGTCACGGCACAAACTTTGTTTTAATAAAATAGAGGCTATATTCCCTCTAGCGGAACTGTTAGAAATTGCATAGGTGTTGTTAAAGCTTGTCTAGGGTTAGTCCCTCCTGTGTAAATCATTTTCTAGTGTACAAGGCTATACTGAGAATTTAGTGGCAGAGGCATTGCAAGGTGGCCAGCCCCAGGGTACATTTAAATTCCCTCCTAAAGCAGCCCTATATCTTGCCCTAAATCACCGTTCCCCCCCCCCCCCAATTGAAATTGAATTTGAGAGCGCAAGCTGCAGCAGCACTGTCACTATGGAACTGTGTTCCACCCTTTTCCCACATGTGGCCAGAGGGGGCTGTGCTGGGAGGAACTTCCTCCTGGGTCATAGAGAGCAGCACAGGGGAGAGACTGGGAAAGGAAGCTCAGCTCTGCACACAGGGTGAGGGAGGGGGGAGTGGGGGTTTCACTCTGTCTGTGTGGGGGATCTGTCTGTGTGTGTATGGGTCAGTCTGTGACTGTGTGTGTCTGTGTGTGTGTATGGGTCAGTCTGTGTGTGTGTATGGGTCAGTCTGTGTGTGTGTGTGTGTGTATGGGTCAGTCTGTGTGTGTGTATGGGTCAGTCTGTGTGTGTATGGGTCAGTCTGTGTGTGTATGGGTCAGTCTGTGTGTGTGTATGGGTCAGTCTGTGTGTGTGTATGGGTCAGTCTGTGGATTTGTATGGGTCAGTCTGTGTGTGTGTGTGTGTGTGTGCATTTGTGTGTGTAAGGTTCAGTCTGTGGGTTTGTGTGGGTCAGTCTGTGTAAATGCTAGAGCTCCAAGAGAGATATCTCTCATCTCGTGACCTCCCCTGTACCCGATGGATAGGCAGCTTTCTCAACCACCACAGATCTGATTGTGCCACCCCCTCCCTGCAAGGTAAGATCAGGAAAAGGGGACTATTATTATAATTTTTTTTAAAAAACAATTATTAAAGTCAAAATTGTAAAGTTCTTTCCTATCCCACTCTCTACACCCCATGAACACAGTACACCCTCACAGACAGTGAACCCCCCAAATACAGTACACTCCCACCAACACAGAGTACACCTTTGCATACACACACAGTGCACCCCTCACACACATCATCTCTTCACCCACATATACACTTCTTCCCCACATACCTTCACCCCCACACACACATACATACATGCTCCACCCCATTACACATCAAATCTTATATATATAAAATAACTACAGCTCCTTGATAAGCACACAATGCAATCCCAATACACATACACTCACAATGCAGCCCCTAGATGCACACACATGCACACACTTTACAGGCCCTCTCAGCACACACACAATATCAAAAGCTCCTATACATGAGCACGTGCTCACACTACGGCCCCTAGTTACACCATGGAAAATGATCTTGCATCTCCTGAAAAGGTTTTCCAGTTTCCATGACAAGGTATCTTGCCTGTAATAAGGAAGGCGCAGCAGTGGAACTACAGGGAGTGCTGATGTTGCGGTTACACCGGGGCCCATCGAGTGGCCTGTGCAGTTAGGGCCACCAGATGGGCATGTGTCTTCAGGGGCCCAAAACAGTTTTTGCACCAGGGCCCTCTCTATGTTGGCACCGCCACTGTGCAGCAGCTTCCCTGGCACACATGCTCTGCCCCTGCATGGAAGATTGCCTCCCCATATGCATGCTACGCCCCCAATCTCAGACTGAGACACACACTCTTTCTCACACACTCAGAAATTGCTATTTTTTATTTTAATTTAAAATACCTCTGGAATAGCTGAGTGGATCTTTCCCTGGCGTCCAGTGTGTCTCCTCTCAATCTTCCTGCAGTTTCTCTCTGCTCCCCTGCATTGTCTGTAGTGATGCCAGGGCCGAGTGATGTTATGTCACTAAACAGCAGACAAGGGAACAGAGCGGAACCGCAGGAAGATTACTGCTCCCTTGCGCGCCGTCTCCCTTCTCCCCGCGGTTTTGATGTTTCCTGTGCGGCTTAGCAAAGGGCTGACAAATGCCAGGCGCCAGGGCGAAATGTCTAGTCTATATATATATATTAATACACACACACACACATATATACACGTTTTATAACTGCCCCCCTACGTTTGACCCTGGCCCCTTATGTGCCCCCAAGTTTAAATCCTGGAGACGCCACTGGTTGTCCCTATACATACTCCTCTCTTTCTGAGAGTCATTCCTTGTTGTGGTTCATTCTAGACTGAGAGTGCGCACTGAGTAGTTGTTTTCTCATTTCTGACCCAGCTTTATATTAACTATTCTGATTTTTTATATCCTTGACCCAGCTTGTTATATTATATTCTGAGTACCTCTGGCATCCTTGATCTTTCTATTGACTTTGTATTATCGCCTATCTTGGGCACACGTTAAGCCCGATCAGGGCCGCCACCAGAAATTTTGGGGCCCCTAACTCAGCTCAGGGTCTGGGCCCCCTGTGGCCCGCCTCCAAATACCGCCCACTGGGTCCGCCTTCAAATACCGCCCACAGGAATATACACACAGACACAAACACACACACTGATACAAAAAGACAGAGATACATACTAACAGACACACATACTGAAACAGACATACACGCATACAGGCATACATACTGAGACATACACACAGGCATACATAGTGACAGACAGACACATACTAACATACATACAGACACACATGCATGAGGACATAAAGACACATACATACATACATACAGACACCGACATACATACATACACACACAGAGACATACTGACAGACATACAGACACTGTCATCCATACACACATACATTCATAATGGCATACAGACATAAACAGACATACATTCATAATGGCATACAGACATACATACATACATTCAGACTGACATACATGCATATATACAGACATACAGGCATACAGACATCCATACACATATACACACAGACATACGTTCATAATGATATGCAGGCATACATTCATACTGACATACAGACATACATATATGATGACATACAGACATACATATATATACATAGACATACATACAGACAGATATACATACATCCATAGACATACATGCATGCATACAGACATACATACAGACATACATACATAGACATACATGCATGCATACAGTCAGACAAACATAGACATACACACAGACATACATACAGACACACACACAGACATACATACATACAGACAGACAGATATACATACAGAGACAGACATACATACATACAGACAGACATACATACATACATAGACATACATGCATGCCTACAGACAGACATAGAGACATACACATACATACAGACAGACATACATACATAAACATACACACAGACATACATACATACAGACATGCATTCAGACAGACATACATACAGAGAGATATACATACAGAGACAGACATACATACACAGACAGACAGACATACATGCATGCCTACAGACAGACATACACATACATACATACATACAGACAGACATACACATACATACATACATACAGACAGACATACACATACAGACAGACAGACATGCATACAGACACACACACACAGCTCATTTTCCAGCCACCCTCCTGTTTCTTACCTTTTCTTTGCAGGAGGGTGGCTGGGGATGATGGGAGTCGGCGCGGCTCTCTCTTCACTGCCTGGCTCTCCCTCTTCACCGGCACGCGCTCCTCCCGCGCGGAGTGGGCTGGGAGGAAGTGACCACTTCCTCCCAGCAGCACTTGCGGCTTTTTTTTTTTTTTAAAGGGGCCCGGTCGCGGCCACAGCGCTGACCGGGCCACTGAAGATATAGGGCCCATCGGGTGGCCCTAAGTGTGTGGGCCACCCGATGGTCCCCACATGTGGGGCCCGGGCAGCCGGGCCCCCCAGGGCCGCCGGGCCCGTGACAACCGTTATGGTTTTCACCCCCTGATGGCGGCCCTGAGCCCGATCACTCTAAGGTCCACTATACGTATCTCCCTCTGTCTATTTACATTTTGGTCAGTTTTCCCCTATATTCTCTGCAAAGAGGTTACCCTGTCCTAAAAAAATGTATGTATGTTTTTCATCATTAAGGAGGCTCTCCAAGTTTGAGGAGTCTATATCTGTATGCATTATATATTCAAAAAAATGTAAATAAAAAGTAAATAAAATCAAACTGTGATGGCAGAGATTAATAAGCTGAACTAAGAAGCAGCGGAGAACTCTTCACAGACCAGAAAGAGTCTTAACCAATCACATTTCTCCTTTTACACAGACCAGAAAGAGCCTCCACAAATTAAGAGACTCAATACTAATGTCTGACTATTGTTCCACAAACCCCCTCGAGATATGAAATTGAGCCTCTGTCAGCTGCTCCACCCACTCTATAAGCGGATATTAGCCATTTCGTGTCTGCCATCAGCCTGTTTATAACTCCATTCACAGTCCTGTGCAAAGGAAGAAATGGTATAGGGATTTTCATGAAGGTATAAATAGAGTGGACGCATTCTTTTAGACAACTGTTATATGTAGAATTCAAGACTTTCCTAGTCTTGACGTCAGAAAATATAGATTATGGGGGGCGGGACTTCCGGTCTCACGGAGAGGTCGCATGGAGTGAGAGCTCCGTGACCGGACCGGACTAAAGTGACAAATTACAGCGGCTTTCAGACTAAGAACCGACCTAAACAGTGGCCCGAGCTTGAGGGGATCTTACCCTGCCGGATGGCGCCCCCAAAAGCACAGTGTGCATCTGACTTTTTCAGCCAAGGTCGGCGAGAGAAAACGCGGCCAGAACAAGATGGCGGCAGTTCACACTCCTCAACGCCTGCCTCAGATCAGGGATCAGATACAGAGGCCCCTCAGCCTCCCTCCGGGGATATCTCCATATCAGAGACGAAAATGGCGGCAATGCTGCAGGAGCTCTGCTCCTCCATGAAGGAGGACTTACAACTGGCGGTGAATGACATCCGCAGAGAGGTACACAAGGTGGGGAGCCACCTCAACGTCCTTGAGGAGAAAATGGATGACCTATGCCAGGCAGACAACTGCATTTTAGAGAAAATCTGCACAATGGAAGCAGAGCAAGCGCGCCTAACAACCAAACTAGCGGACCTGGAGGACCGATCGCGACGAAACAACATCCAGGTGCACGGGGTCCCTGAGTCTGTCTCGGGGGCAGACCTCCCAGGGTATCTCCAACAACTCTTCAAAACTATCCAGCCGACTCTGGAACGGACAGACTTGCGCTTAGACAGGACGCACAGAGTACCCAAACCTGCTTCCCTAGCACATGATATAGCAAGAGACATTGTCACAAGACTCCACTATTTCATGGCGCAACGCAAATCTACAGCAATGCCATCCAGTTATGACGGGATCTGCCTGTTTGCTGATCTGTCCCCTATGACGATGGCGAGAAGAAGAGACTTTATAAATGTCACTAAATGCCTCTGCAACCACAAGATTCCCTACCGATGGGGCTTCCCCACGAAACTGCTGATCTGGTGAAATGGATCCCTAACAAAACTGGATGACCCGGACCAAGGCATGGACAAGCTGAAAGCCTGGGGACTTGTAGCGGATGGCACCAGGCGACCCTACAAATATACTGTATATACCTGCATTCGTGTATCTGCTGTATTTTCTATGTATTAAAAAGAATTGTATTCCTCTGATTGTTCGGTAGTTTCATTCCCTTAGTTTATTCGAATGAAACTACCGAACAACCAGACCTCCCCTGTGTGAAGTGTGTCCTCAATTACCCGTTGCAACATTGTTGCGAACGGGTAATTGAACAGTAAGTAGCCGTCCTTTGTTCTCGGGGGTGGCCGCCATTCGACAAACGAACACGTGGCGGCGGCCATTTTAAAACTCCCGAACAGCGGTGTTTTGCCGTCGAGTGTCTGGAACTAAAATCGGACACTCGAGTAGGCGAACACCG